CGCGCACACCCAGGAGCGCGCGCCGCCCGGGCGGGGGACGGGGGGCGAAGGCGGGGGGTGCCGCGCGCAGCTTCTGCTTCCTATTTTCTCTCTCGTTTCCTGCTAGAAGAAGAAGAAAAACATTAATTCCCAGGCAGTTTCGTTTTCTTGTCGTTGTGGCGCCTGGACGCCGGAGCACACTTCTGAGTTGCGCCCGAGTGGTGTGGCCGGTTTCCTTCCTGGCACCATAGAAGCCTCACTTTGCTCTTGGCAGGATGGGGGGCGGGGGGGCGCTGACTTAGAAGACCCCAAGTCCCCGTTAGGTTTAACAGTCTGGAATTCTCCGTGTAAGAAAGTCAACTGGAGTCCAGAGTCCTACAAAATTGCATTGCAAGCCCAGCTCTACCGTCGCTGGGCGGTTGATCGTGTACATCTCAGGTAGTCAGCTTGGTCATTGGCAAAATAGGGATAGTGATACCTGCCTCATAAAGGTGCTGACATACTAAATGAGGCACCGTTTGCACAGAGCCTGCCTCCAAATAAATGATCAATACTTGGAAGTTATTGTTACTATCGTCACTGATGAAAGTAGGCCTTTCAGATAACCCTGGCAAGTCGCTCATCTCGGCGTGAGTTAAAACATCACACAAAGCATCTCAACCGGCCCCCCCCCCCCCCCATTTCTCCGGGTGTTTTAGGTTTAAAATGTCATAAAATGAATGCAACTATCCAATTTGCTTCCTCTGAAGTCAGTACCGCCCGGGAGCAGTTTTCCTCTCCCCACCCCCATCTTTCTTCTGAGTTAATTCCAGTTTGACAGACTGTTGCTATAGCATTCCTTCTCTGACGTCAAACAATTTAAAGAAACCGCCCTGGGTAACGAACACTGCAGAGGAGTTCTTTGTGGAGTTTCTGTGCTGGAGAAAGGCTTGAACAATGTAAAAGAACTTTAACACCTCCGCAGCCTTCCATTCCTTCCTCCAGGGCAGCTTCCCACTATCACCTGGAATAAATCTTTCAGTACCTTAAAAGACATGATGCCATTCTAAGCACAGGCCGAGTGCAACTCTGGAGAAAATGTGGCCGTTTGGTATAAAACCCAGACGATGACAAAAATGGAAACTGTCATAAGTGCTGGGATTATGAAATTATTGGTGTCCCCCCCCACCCCGATTTTCATTTTCCCTTACGTGGGGTGCTTTTTCCACTTAGAAGAGGAGAAGTATCAAATATTCTACATATCAAAATGTCAGAAAAATTGATGGAGACCTGAATGGTTTGCATCTCTCACAGTTTGCTTTAATGATTAAATCCTGAGCTTTATTGTGGTCATTTTTAGAAGAAAACAAAGGGAAATTATTTAAGGAGCTCTGTTATACACCAGTCTCTCTGCTTTCTTGTATTGTGCTTAGTTCTCATAGTGACCTGGCAATGTGCACTTTATCCCCATTTTACAGATAAGGAAACTAAGGCTCAGTGAGGTTAAGGAATTTACCTAGAGTCCCAGGAGAAGGGGCAGAGCCTACATGGAACCCAGATTGGATTGACTTCGAAGTCCACTTTCCTCAGATATTTTCTGTCTTGTTCTTGTGCACTGGAACTTAAGAGACATTCTAGACCTTTGAGAGGGCATTGAGTTAAATTTATTCATTGAAAAACAAGTTGCTGGTGTTTAGGAAAACCTGATGGAAAGTACTGAGATACTCTATTCCAGAAAAGATTAGGGGAAACATAAATCAACAACTACAACAATCAACAAGTACAATAAGTCCTAACTACAAAAACCTGAAAAGATATAACAAGAATTTAACTGACCTTTGTTTGAAGATTTGAGAATTAATTACACAAAATGATGACTTTGACCTTTTTGAAAATTTGATATGGACAGAGAAATTACTAGAAGAATAAAGTCCAAGTACGAAAAAGGAAAGTTGAATTGTTACCCAAACTAGCCCACTTCCAAGAATATTACATTTCTGTTTTGCCACATCTGCTGCATATTTTTTTGAAAAGAACACTTAATTGTTAAAGGACGAGCCTGTATTGCAAATCTGAAAGTGGAACTGATGAAAAGAATTTCATTACCAGGAATAATTTCCTAAGAGTACACTAAAGCATCTAAGTGGCCTAGCAATTGGTAATATTGCAAATGATAATGTAATCCATGTAGAAAGCAAGAGAGAGTTGGGGAGGAGGAGAGAGAGAGAGAGAGAGAAGGGAAAGAAGAAAAAAAGAAAAGAACGAACGAACAGAAAATAGGGAAGGTCGTGTTGATACTTTTGAAGACTGCTGATTTGTTTAGACAATTGCAGTGATATATCCTGCTTGTAATGCTTAAACCCAGTACTCTTGTGTTTAGGTGCCACTGGGTGATATTTAGATTTCTAACGTATTAGGCTCATGTTCTCAAATTTTACTCTATTAAAAGAGGATGATGGGGTCCCGGCTAGAGAACCTTTGAAGATAAAACCCGTTTCATCCTTGTATTCTTTAAAAAAAAAAAAAAAAAAAAAAATTATGTTTATTCATTTCCTGAGAGAAAGACAGTACAAGCAGGGGAGGGGCAGAGAGAAAGGGAGACCCAGAATCCAAAGCAGGCTCCAGGCTCTGAGCTGTCAGCACAGAGCCCCACACGGGGCTCAAACCCACAAGCTGTGAGATCATGACCTGAGCCAAAGTCTGATGCTTAACCGACTGAGCCACCCAGGCACCCAACATCCTTGTATTCTGAGTAGTGTTTAATAGAATACCTTACATGTAGTTGGTACTCAGGGAACAAATGAATGAAGGAACTTGATCACTTTGGTTTACTCAAATAACCTTCATACCTAACCCCAGCCCCCTGCCCTATTCAGAATCGTAGAAAGGGAGACAGTGATCATTATTTTTCTGGGAGTTGAATTTCAGTTACTTCTGCAGGGCGTTTTTCTCTTCTGTTATCAAATTCAGAGAAGCTCTGCTCTTGGTCCTATGTTGAATGAATCTGAATCTGGCTCTCAGCGAACCACCCTAAAATTCACAGTGCCCTGGCTTTACAACCTACACTTTTAAATGATACCTTAGAAATCATCTGTTTTTTTTTTTCTGAACCTACTTTGTTCTCAATGACAAGTGCATTATGAAGAACAGAGCCATCAAAGTGTAAAATATTCCAGTACTGCTTTGTTGTATGGGTTGTATGCATTTCAATCCTTTGGTATTCAAGATGAGGCCAAATTTTATTCATGCACTATCCTTTATAGAACTAAAGTAACAGGTTTTCTTCCAACAACAACCAAATGGGTTTTAAAATATTAAATGAAAATTGTCTAACAGGATCCACAATAGATTTCCTCAAGGATATGAAAAGTTATTCTGTAGTCTATTCTACAAGAAGTTTATGTGTTATTTCACACATCCTTGATCCCAAATGGTTATGTCTAAATACTTCCCTTTCTCTCATGTACATTTCCATCTCAGCTCTTTTTACAGTTTATATTTTGAGATTGAGTTTGCTGTATTCTTCTGACACTCCCGATATAAATCAGTTATAGCTCTTGCTAAGTTTATTTACTTTTGGCGGGGGGAGGGGTAGCGAGAGGGGGACAGAGAACCCAAAAGTGGGCTCTGTGCTGACAACAGAGAGCCTGATGTGAGGCTCCAACTCAGAAACCGCAAGATCATGACCTGAGCTGAAATCGGATCTTCAACCGACTGAGCCACCCAGGTGCCCCAGTTCTTGCATCTTTCTGCTTGGATTCTTTAATGGTAGTTGGAGTCCACAATCTGCATGCTCATCGGTGACCTTAGGAGAGCGCTGTACTTAATTAATGATGTCTGTCACACGCATGAGAGGGGCAAAGAGAAGCAGATCCTGTGGTTCAGGTCTCTGGAATCTGTTATTGGGAAGGGACAGGCAGTGTGAAAAGAACACTAAACTGCATGTCAGAAGACTTGATTCAGAGTTTTGGCTCTGGTACAAAATATCTGTGTGACCTTGAGCAGATCACAACCCGCCTTCACTCTCTTATTCAAATGTAAGATGAGCATGTATATAACCTCACTGATCAGTCATGCATTCTTTTCCTCTAAGCCTCATCCCATCCCAGGAATGCCAGGAAGGCATTCTCATCTGTTGATGTTGATTAATAACATTCTATTAGCTATCTATTACCATGTAAAAATCCACCCCAAAATTTAGCGGATTAGAACAACAACAATCATTTACTTTGCTCATGAATAGCCAATTTAGGACTTGGCTGACACACTCTTCTCTGCTCTAGACCGTTTACCTAGTTTGATTTTATTTTCAAGATGGCTCTCATAAGGCTGGCAAGTTGGTACTGACTACTGGTTGGAAGATGAGCCTGTGCTGTGGACAAAGACCTCCGTTCTTCTCACATAAGCTTTTCCATGGCGTACTGGGAAGTCCTCACAATACACTGGCTGGGTTCTAAGAGCAAGTGTTCCAAGGGAACAGGAGAAAGAGCATAGCATTTCTATGACTTAGCTTCAGGAAGCACACACTGCAGCTTTCTCAATACTCTCTTGATGTACACAATCTCAAATTGAAGTGATAGGGACACAGACCTCTTGATGGAGGAGTAGCAAGGTTCTAGAAAAGCACGTAGGCTGACACATATTGTTGCAGCCATTTTTGGAAATATAGTCTGCCACAAACAAGCATATTTGCTAACCCTGGATTAATCTATGAGTCTCACAGTCTAAGAATCTATTTTTCCATTCCTTCTTCCTATTTAGCATTGACTTTGTTTATTTATGCTAATATACTCTGCCTGATAGATATTTCAAACAAGGGAAAATACCTTGCTTTTCTTGTTAATTTGTTTAGCATTGCTTTCTTGTTTTAATTTTAATTTTTAAAATTATCACACTATAAAATTGGCCTCTTTCTTTTGGTATACAGTTCTATGATTTTATTTTATTTTTTTTTAAGTTTATCTACTTTTGGCAGAGACAGAGTGCAACCATGAGCTGGGGAGGGGCAGAGAAAGAGGGAGACACAGAATCTGAAGCGGCTACAAGCTCCACACTGTCAGCACAGAGCCCGATGCAGGGCTCGAGCTCACAAACTGTGAGATCATGACCTGGGCCGAAGTCAGACGCTTAACCGACTGAGCCACCCAGGTGCCCCTCTGATTTTAAACACAAGTACAGATTCATGTAACCACCTCTACAATCAGTATGCAAAATAGTTCCATCACCCTCAAAAAACTTCCATTGTTGTTGTTGTTATTACTATTATTTGTGGCTCACCTCCCTCCCCTAACTCCCAGCAATCTTTGATCTGTCCTCCATGCCTACAGTTTTGTCTTTTCAGGAGTATTATGTAGGGGTGCCTGAGTGGCTCAGTCAGTTAAACATCCTACTCTTGATCTCAGGTCAGGTCTTGACCTCAGGGTCATGAATTCAAGCCCTGCATTGGGCTCCATGTTGAGTGTAAACCTACTTTAAAAAAAAAAAAAAAAATATATATATATATATACACACACACACACACATATACATACATTATATAATATATATATACATTATATAATGTAAATGGAATCATACAGTATGAAAACTTTGAGACTGACTTATTTCACTATAATGCGTTGTTCTTCCTCGTTGCTGAATAGTATTCCATGGTATGAAGGTACAACACTTTGTTTATCCATTCACCTACTCAAGGATATTCAGGATGTTTTCCAGTTTGGGGCAATTATGAATAGTGTCTATAAACATTAATGTGCAGGCTTTTATATTAACATGTTTTCATTTCTCTAGGTAACTGTGAGTGGGATTGTTGGGTTATATGGTTGGTATATGCTTAACCTTAGACTGCAAAATCATTTTCCAGAGTGGATCGTTCATTTTTCATTCTCACCAGCCATGTATGGGAATTCCAGATGCTCTTGAGTGTTTGCCAGCACTTGATATTGTCAGTTTATATTCCTTTTAAATGTTGCCATTCAAATAAGTGTGGAGTGGTATCTCCTGATAGTGGTTTGTTTTGTATCTTCTTCAGCGTCACACATGCATGCTATCTCCTGCCTTTTTCTGTCCTGATCCATTCCATGCATTTCTGTCAAATTAATGTTCCTGAAACACAACACTGATTAGATCCCTTTTTGGCTCAAAGACTGTACAATGGTTCCAATTTTTCACTGAATGGAATATACCTTCCTTGCCCTGGCATGCAAGGCCTTACTTAATCTGGCTCCAACCTACCTCTCCAGGCCCATCTTTTACTACTCTACTCTATTTTTCACTCCATCCAGTCCTTTTGCTCTTCAGAGAGTAGGTTCTTTGCCTTTTTATCTTTCTCAGTGCTATTCCCCAGACTGAGTCTTCCATCCTTCCTTCAGTATCTTTCAAGAACCAAAAATAGAAGGAGACTGTCCTTGCCCTTCTGTGCCTGGGGTACCACTATGCAATGCTATGCACTCTGTCTCAGACACTCTTCCCAGGCTCTTAGAGGACCCTCCTGCCTGGGAAGGTCAGCAAAGCCAGGAGTGGACAGGTATCTGGCTGCGGAATGGGGCTCCTTTACTCATAGAGACCAACAACTTTCCAAAAGATTCTATTGGATGCCCCTCCCTTGGAAAGGGGAGAGAAACCAAAGTAGAGAGGGGGTTAATCTCTCTTCCTGATGCTGCATTTGCCTCAGGACATTTCCTTCCCCAAACCCATTCCGCCTTTAACCAATGTCTGAACACTGGAAGGCAAAGAATGAATATATAGTAACGATACTCTGTCTGTCTTAGAAGTTCTCGGGGAGATTTTTGAAACATTTTTGAGATATGAGTTTAATGATATGGTAATTTTTCAAGTGACTTTCTGCTAAAGCATGAAGAGTTCTGATAGCTGTCAACAATATGTCACTTCCCTTTAACACTGGAAGCTGAGAAAGAATAATTTAACAACATTAATAATATTCTGTTGGAAACAATTGCTTTGGTTTGATACTAAGTCACTTTGCCTGGACTTTAGGAGGTTAAAAAAAAAAAAGTTGAAAAGAAATTCCATAAATCAATTATTGCTCTAAACATTTTTAGTTAGTGGTAGAAACATCATTCCTAGTATCAGTAACAACAAACATTAATGAACCTGTACTTTAGAACAAATCTCTAAGAGTAAGGGAATGACTTTGAACTTGCTTGCTTGCTTCAAGGAATATTTAAGAGAAAAAAGGAGTGGAGTTATGAGTTCAAACTTCCTTACCCGTCTTCTCTAAGTAGACCAGGATATCCAAACCATGTTTCCACCAGCGCTTATAAATTCTAAGGAAATCAAGTGAAACTGTTAATGATAGCAAATTCAGTTCAGGTCAAGTGTGTGATGTATTCAAGTCACATTTACATAGCTTCCTTCTTGTATAATTATGCCCATAATTACTGTGTCTAGAACATAACATATTATTTTGTATGATCTAGAGGTTTGCAATTGCATGACTATTTTATGCCAAAAATCTCATTCTTAGAGGACTCAGATCTTATCACTATATCCACAGTCTTAGCCCAGCACCTGCACATAGTAGGAATCCATTATTGTTTTGCAATGAAGGAAGGAAGGAAGGAAGGAAGGAAGGAAGGAAGGAAGGAAGGAA